GTGTGAGAGAGAGAGAGAGAGAAAATGAGATAGAGAAAGAAAATGTGTGTGTGTGAGTGTGTGTGTGTGAGAGAGAGAGAGAGAAATAGAAAATGAGGGAGAAAGAAAACGAGATAGAGAGAGAAAGAAGTAGTGTTAAAGTGGCGTTGGTGGTATAGTGGTTAGCATAGCTGCCTTCCAAGCAGTTGACCCGGGTTCGATTCCCGGCCAACGCAAAGTTTTTTTTAGAGGGCGTGCATAAGCGCACTAACATGCCTACCGTCCCTGTCCTATTCTTTCTTTCTTTTTTTCTTATTCATATCCATTTCATGTATTCATAACCATGTTTACCTGTTATCTAATCATCACTTGACAAAATTAAATAAATAAATAAAGAGAAAATGTGTGTGTGTGAGAGAGAGAGAGAGAGAGAAAATGGGGGGGAGAAAAAGAGAGAAAGAGAAAATCAGAAAATAAGAGAGAGAAAAACGAAAGAGAGAAAGAGAAAATGTGTGTGCATGTGTGTGTGTGAGAGAGAGAGAGGGGGGGAGGGGAGAGAGAGAGAGAAATGAGAGGGGAGGGGGCAAAGAGGAACCATCTAACGACATCCAAGCTGCAGGCCCGGATTCCTTCTCAGATGTCGTGTTTAGAAGTACTAAGGAATTTTTTTCCCCCAATCAATCATTTTAGATCTAGAGATTTGCCTCTCTTTCTTTAAGTCAGATGGAAGCATGGAGACTTTAAACAAATCTACCATACAAATCAAGGTGCTAGTTCTCATGAGGCTTCACTATTTTTTTTTCCCAAGCAAGAAAATAATGACAACACAATAAAATAAAATATAATATAATGTAAAATATAAAAATAAAAACACAAAACAGATAATTGAGATTCCCACAAGTCCTACCTTCGCTGGTCCAAGCGGAACTTGCAGGGACGATGAGCCCAGGTAGCAGGAACGTGAGAAGGGACAGGAACCACTGCATCTTGACCGTGAGGGACAGAGATATTTGAAAGAAACGCTTAAAAACTTCTTAGCACTCTTTTCCAGAGTCTCAACATCTTTTTTTTTTTAATATCGTGGTGGCCAAAATTAGATGCACTTATAGAAAGCCAGCACCCACCCACGCCTCTCCTAGAAGAATGAAATATTTTGAGGAATATTTTTTTTTTTAAAGGCAGAATATTCTATTGCCCTAAATGAGAAATGGAGAAACATGTTTGGTTTTTTTTAGAGGCAGGAAGCAGCCCCAATCTCCCTGCCCCCAAGCAGAAACTGAGGAAGCCAGCTTTTAGAAATGCAGATTTGGTAATCCATTCAAGACTGGGTATTTTGAAACTCCCCGCTGCAAAGTCTGAACTTGGTAGAATTAGCCCCTCACTCAAGATCCAAAACAGGGTGAAAGCCATTTAGCCACAATAGGAACTGCCCAATACCCTTTCAGAACACAAGCCCCTTCATTGCATCAGAACAGTCCAAACTTCAACCAAACTTAGCTCAGACAAATACCTAGGATTCCCATTTCCTCTTTTGCCTATAGAGCCAGCTTTGACCCCTACATGGCCCCCATAGGTATCTGACAACAGCCAGTAGAGTACATGTTCTTGCACAGGAACAGGAAGCTCAAGTGCAAAGCCCAAAGAAAGTATAACTCCCCCTCCATTCTCCACTCTATGTGGTCAGCTGCCCAGAACCACAAACCCATGTGGTTCTGTTCATCATTAAACCATTTTTCCAATCACCCTCCATGTTTCCGGTGTCTTTCTCCCGGCTTGGAAATGAACCAGATGGATATTTCTCCCCACACAATATTCTAAGCGTGGTCTTACTAGGGCATTATAGAGTGGTATTAACACTTCATTGCGGTCTTGATTCTATCTCTACTAATGCAACCTAGGACTGCACTGGCTTTTTTGGCAGCTGCTGCACACAGCCGGCTCATAGTTAAATGATTGTCTACTAGGACTCCAAGATCCTTCTCGCAGTTGCTACTATTGAGCCAGGTACCATCTGTATTGTACCTGCACCTTTGGTTTTTCTTGCCTAAATGTAGATTCAACTAAAAAGATACTCCTCTGTTCTTTTTAGTTACCAGAAAAAGGAAGTTGGGTTGGAATACAAGGCATTCTTTTTTTAAAAAAAAAAGTTTTTTATTTTAACAACAAACAAAACCACATAAAACATACAACATAAAACATAAAAACATCATCCTTCTTCATAAATTTACAAACAGTGTATCAGTTGGTTTACCACTTTTTTTGTGTGCATCCGTTTCCTAAACGCCAATATAGTTATATTACATAATAACTCATATTATCAATCAGCAATTGTATAACCTAGTATCATTACTGTGAAATCATTTAGCTATAATTTTATTAATTCATACTTTAACGAGATAACTATAATTTACTTAATTTATTTTGCAACGAATCGTAAAATCGTACCAAATCTATCTTCATAAGGTTTTATAAGAATAATATCAAAAAAAAAATTATATCCTAAATCTAAATATTCTATTACTGTGTTTTATTATCTAACCATTGATAAAAAAAGATCCCAAACTTCATAAAATTGTTTATCTTCTTGTTCTCTAATTTCAAATGTCAATTTACTCATTTCACCACAATCCAATATTTTCTTGATAATTTCTTCCTCTGATGGGATTTTTTCACTCTTCCAGTTTTTAGCAAAATTCTTGAAATGCCTAGATAATCAACTCGGCAGCCCAAAGTTGTTGGAGCGTAAGAAGGTTAATGGAGAGCGTGATGGATGACTCTTGGAGACGGATGTGTCACATCAGTCACATCCCTGGGGTGGGGTCAAGGGGGGAATATATGATGTGATTTAGTACTGGCTGCACCCAGCCACGCGCCAACATGGCAAGTTCTAAAAAAACCAATTTACTTTTTCTAAGACTTTTGTTTCGAATGAAAGTGGATTTGTTGAAACCCTGACAGTAGAACCTTACTTTTCTCACCATTTAATTTCATTTTGTTAAAAGGGGCCCAATGCTTAAAAAAAATCTGTCAAGATCCTTCTGTATCTTAAGCCTATCGGTGTCATCTGCAAATTTGATGAGTTCTGGAGAAATCTGTTAGTCGAGGCTAAGTTGGAAAAATCACAACTTTTTATTATTATTTTTAACCAGAGTGTAGGAAATTAGCACCCACGCCCTCTCCTAGAAAAATGAAATATCCCGGGAAATATTAAAAAGGCAGAATATTTCCTCTAAAAAGAGTAGAAACTCAGAAGCAGAAGCTCACCCCCACCTTTGTTCATGGATGGGCCATTAAGGCCCCGGGCCAGAATACTTTACATAACAAAGATCTCCAGGTAAAGCTATCGCAATACTTTACATAACAAAGATCTCCAGGTAAAGCTATCGCAATTGCTCAAAAGCCCTTTCAGCGCACCATCATCCAGCCAGGCTCAACCAAGCCTGGAACTCAGGACAGCCTACAGAGTTGCCCCTGTCCACCAGCCTCCATGTTTCCAGTGTCTTTTTTCCCCCGCTTGGAATTGAACCCAGAAGGATATTTTCTTCCAACAAGAGAAAGCGAAATGTCTCTCTTTTTGGCTTCATCTGTGCTCCCTGCTGTTTTTTCTTATTTACAGATTCCCTCTGAAAGCATTGCCCATAAATTGCAGCCAATTCCCGCAAGAGGAAATTGATTCAAATCCCACCCCCCTTTTTTTCTCTCTCCACGTTTGCAGCAAACATCCGGAAGGACAAACGCAGATGTGCAAAGTCTCTTTTACTGTAGGTCACCTGCGTGCACGCAGGTGTTTGTGTGGGTCTTTGCGCTTCCCTAATATTTGGGATATTTTTTTAAAAAAAACTTCCAACCTTGATTGCGATCCTCATAACGAAGCGGGTTTGTGGGCCAGAAAAATTAAAATCCATGCAAACTTTTCCTCTTGTAGCCATTTGAGTGTTTTCTTTAAAAAAAAAAAACTTTTCACTGATTGACAGTTGTATTTCATGCCATTTTTTTTTCACTTGTATTTGTTTATGGATTTTTTTGGGGTGGGTGGGGCAGAGTCAGGCGGGGTCTTGCTTCTCAAATCTGGGGCTCCCTGTCTTATGTTTTGAAGTGTAAGTTCCAGGTAAAGTTGGGGATTTTAAGTTTTGGAGTTGCAATGCATTGGTCGGGAACGATGGGAGTTGGGATACCCAGATATTTGATATCTGATAGAGAGCCAGTTAGATCTAGTGGTTAAAGCACCAGTCTAGAAAGCAGGAGACGGTGAGTTCTAGTCCTGCCTTAGACACAAATGCTGGCTGGGAGATCCAATCACAAGGAGACGGTGAGTTCTAGTCCTGTCTTAGGTATGAAAGTTATCTGGGTGACGTTGGGCCAATTACAAGGAGATGGTGAGTTCTAGTCCTGTCTTAGGCATGAAAATTAGCTGGGTGACGTTGGGCCAATTACAAGGAGATGGTGAGTTCTAGTCCCGCCTTAGACATGAAATTTGGCTGGATAACTTTGG